ATTATACAGTAATAGAATTCAATTAAATTTAATAATTAGCGTTTGTACATTCTTACACACAAAATAAGATAGAATTCATTAAAAAAAATTTTTCTCATGTGTAAAGTGTAAATCTTAAGTGTATGCAATGAACAATTGATTTTTCTATATTTCTTATAATATATAACAATTTTATAATTTGAAATTCTATAATTTTAATAAATCTCAAGATTATAATGTATTAATATATCCTCAACCCAGTCAATAGTAATGGAAACAATCAAACCAGTAATCACGAGTAAGTCAACTTGATTAATGATTCTTTATCAAAAATATATGTTAAAACTACGTGTAAATCCTATTGTTTAGTTGTAGAAGAAACTTTTGATTTTAACTTGTAAAAGCATGATAAAAATAAAACAAAGTATTACATTTACAATTCTCATCACTTTCTTATCGGAGAGCTTATATTATAATTGATTCGAGAACATTATTTGCAAATTTAAGAGTAAGTTTGTAATCGTATTGAATATAAATTAGAAATTATATTATTAGGGAATAAATTTGTTAACCATTGAAAAGGTAATTAAATCTTATGCTCGCTAATATACTCCGAATATTGTATAAACTTTTCATTTAAATTGGAATAAAATAAAAGGCCAGTATTGTATAGAAAATATTTCTATTCAATATAATAACGAATCCGCTACAGTCAATTAACAGTCTAAAACTATAAAACGTATTATTCTAAAAGTTTTTATTTTTTGTTTTTTATTTATAATTCTAAATTTAATAAACAATATTTCAGAAGAAATATGATAGAATTAAATAAAATCGAATTATTGCACGCTATTTTACGAAATTCAACGTACAATTATTATTCACACGTACGATATAACTTATTGTTCACTCTATATATCCTTAATGAAAGCACTTGATATATAAAAATGTTAAAATAGTAAGTATGCATTTGCACTGAGTATGCATACATAAGACATGTGCAATTATATGGAGCACATCAAACTATGATAAAAGTAAAAATCAATTATTTCAACTCATCCTCGTTTTTAAAAGCTTAACTTGAAGACAATTTTACACAAATACGTTATTTATTATTCGACCGATAGTCGGTAAAAAGTTAGAGCTATTGGATGCATTAATATTCAAGTAATAGTACACTAATTGATATGGGATAAATAATTTAATTATTATTCTATTGTTTATTATTCGCATCAACATTTTACTGCTCCCACATAAATGTAATAGGAAGCAAAAAAAAAAAAAAAAAAAATTATAGTCCATCATAATTTATACTTGAAATTATAGAAACGTTAATAAATACTTATATAATGTTTAAAAAGGTACTAAAAAATGTTTGATTAATACACTCAAAATTATAGTTACTTAAAAGTCAACTTAATCGGTCAGAAAGATTTTACATTGCTATTGGGCTAGAGAGCATGTGTTATATCTTGGAATTGGAATTTTCTATTTATAACTCAAGCATGAAACGTTTACGGAGTATACGTCATCTATGGTTGCTTAAAAATGTTCTTCATGTTTTGATAAATAAAGGGAAAACATATAAATATCTTAATTATTTTTCTCTGTACAATAATCACATTCAATAAAATTGATTAACACCATCTATTCTCAAAAGTTTGTAAATAATAATTTTCTTTATGTACAAAAAATATGCGTCGGACAAAGATTGCACGTAACTTAACTATAAGGTCAATCTATACTGAATGTATGAAAAAAATAATATAGCTGATTGCACTATTTCCAAATTTTAAAATGTATTTTTTATACGACAAATGTTATTATTACAAATAGAGAATTTACCGTTAAAACTGTCTTGTAAATACGGTAAAGTGGTAATGGGTGAAAAGCAGCTACAAACCAAGTTATAAGGAAAATTCGAACTTGTAAAACTATACCATATTACCTAAACGTATCGAAATAATGCAATCGTATTTAGAAAGAGAAATAAAATAGAGAGTAGCTGACAATGATTCTTATTCAAGAAGATAGGTGGTACAAGTTTCTGCAAAATTAATACTTGTAATATGAAAAATCCTTAACGAAAATAAACTAAAATTTAATATAAATGATAGCAAGCAACATTAATAAACGTTTAAAAGAATTTGTATATATGCAGCTAAATATTTTGTTACTACAATTTTTATAATTAATGATTACCAATATTATCTTTAAATAATATTTCCTCAATATTATTAAAACTAAATTATAGTAAACTTATTTATTTAGTATTAATTGTTGTCAAATATGTAAAAATATAATTTAAATATCCATGTATCAATGAAATTTACGTCTTATATACACTACTTAGTAAATCAATTTCTAGTTGTGAATTTTATTAGTGAAATTTAAATTGTCACAAGTTTACTTATTCTTACTTTTATGATGAAAGATATTTTTAAAAAATCAATGATATAAAGTCTTGATTATTCACAATTATCATATTATGAAGGTCAGTTTAGTAACATTACATTAAAATTTGAGCTTCTTTTAAAGGGCTCTTACTATTAATTGTCGTTATTAATTTCTAACAGCCAGTTATTATGAATTCTATTGGTACTACTAACTACCATAATATTATTGGAATTAAGTATTTTTTCATCTGTAAATAAATAAGAATTTATTTATAATAAAAGCTTCATATAATGTTATAAATTGCAATTACTGATAATGATAATGATAATAATAATAATAATAATAATAATAATAATAATAATAATAATAATAATAATAATACAATCTATACCGAAAATAAATTGAAAATAATTTACTAGCTCTATTTAAATTCTATTTAAATTTAAAAAACTATGTTTAATAATAGTTTTTATATATATTTCTAATTTGTACCTTGATTATAGACTTCTATTACTTTAAAGTATTCTTTCCATTCTTTAATTTGGCCTTTTATTAACCATAATTTTGAAAAACAAATCAAAATTTGAACAGAATTCTTTAATAGCTGAAAAACTAAATTAAGAATATTCAAAATCCATTTAGATTTAAAATTTCTTATTATAGTACCAGATATAAAAGCAGAAGCATTTGTTTAAATTAATAAGCATCTTGTTATTTTATATTGAAAATTAATATTGAGAATTATTATCTTTAAAATTATTATTGGACTTGGAATAATAACAGAAATAATGAAATACCATTTCCATACGTCGCAACTCTCTGTAAATAAAAAGTTAAAAATACAGAGAGGTACATTTTCGTTAAAAAATGTCAGAGTATAGTCTAATTACATATTAAATATATTCTTAAACTTACCATTATCCATTATAATTTAGTTTCAATTAGCCAAAGAACTTTACTTTCAGATTAATAAGTTAATTATTAAATGATAATTAAAACTTGACTGTTTTAAAATTCCTAAGTAAATGTAGAGAATGGAAATAATTAAAGTAACTGAAGCTATCGAATGTATTCGATAATGTTTATGTATAAATTTATAGATATAAATTTATAGATATAAATATAAAGATATAAAGTTTATGTATAAACTTTATAATAATTAAAATTTCAAAAAATAATCCAAATGAAATTTATAATTTAATATAGAGCGAATAGAAAAAAATATAAAACTGCAATTAGAAATAAATATAATTTATTTTCTTAATTTTCGAATACCAATACTTTTTCATATTAACTTATGTTTTCAATTAGAGATAAAGGTGCTCATTAAACTATCACTAGTTTAATGGATAATTATTTTCCCTATATAATGTAAGTAATTAGAATACAATTTTTGTAACACTTATAAAATTCCGCACTATAAGCAAAAACACGGCTTTTAAATTAATTAATATATATATTTATGAAATCTGATGATTAGGTCTGCTAAGTCATTTAATTTATAATGATTTATGTTTTAACCTCAGTACTATACCTGTGTTGAGTATTGTGAAACGATTTCTATTGTTTTCTATATTGGACTGACTTATTTTCATATTATTCATATTAACAATAATAATGTATATATAGACTTTTGATAAAAGAATAATCAAACTACATCACTAGATTGCGTTAAAATATCAATTACAATCCTCTAAAATGCACATAACAATAAAACACCGGTCTTCGGCAGCTTCTACCGTGGTGGCGCTGTATTTCGGTGAGAATCCCCTGGGAATTGTGTAGCTTTGATGTTAAAACTTGTTATGTAGTTTCGGAGGAGAGTGCATTGGGTACGCATGAGCAGTACACTCGCAGATTATCCAAATGTTAATAAGCTTTAGTTTTATGGAAATTTAATAGAGATTTGTGAAAAATAATTAATTCGTTTTAGTCTATTATATAGGAGCAAAAGATTAAAAGGTTTATTATTTTACAAAGTATTTAAAAATATTTATTTTATTTTTTATCATTATGTTTATGAATTTGCAAGTTTCTTAAAAAATTTGATTGATGGTAGATTGACATGGTAATTAATGAATGAAAATTAAAAGATAGATTCTATTGGAGCAAATCACAAAATTATATGTTTACACGATAGTTTAACAAACAATTATAATCTATCAACTCAGTTGATGTATTTTTTTAATCCAAAAAGGCGAGCCTAGTTTTAAGGTAAAATCCGATTTGATGTCATCTATTGTAACGGTTAAATATCAACAAGTAAAGTTGGTTCGATTATGTTAACAATACACTGAACTGTAAACAAATAATTTATTTAAACAGTATTATATTTATTTCAAATGAAAGTATTGTGTTATGTATTGTAATGCATTTAACTACAAGAATTTTATAAAAATTTTAAAAAATTTCATTACGAGTTCATACTTGAATTTGATGTAGCATTCGTTTATTATTGTACATTACCCGCAAGTTCAAATTTCATCGATAAACATTGGACGAATTTGTAAATTTTACTATAAAATAATAAACAGACTCGGATAAAGAATTGATTAGCATATAAAATAAATTTACACAGTAATGAGTGAGTATAAAAACAAGGTTTAAAAATATTTAATATTTAAAAACCGACGATAAGTTTTGTCAGTATTTCAGCAAATTCAAACGATGCATTGGAGGAACAGTGCGAAGATGCTGTTTTTAAACTTTGCTGTACGCGAGAACGTTATTCCGTTCGTTGTGCCAATCAACTAGAAAAATATTTAAAATTGTGTACCGATAAACAAGTAAGAGATAGAATTAAATTAATACTTGAAAGTAAAATAAATAAATTATTTTCACTAGGTTGCAAAAATTAAAATTGCACCTGCTCCAAATTTTGAGAGGCCAGTTATGACAGAGGAACAAAAACACCTCTTATATGAATATAAAGTTTCTTCTAGAAATGAAATACAAAAAAATTCAAAAAATGATGTACGACTCATGTTGAATAGATTGAAAGAATTAAAAAACATTGTAAAACAGATAGAACAATCCAGTAGCAGTGAAATATATCAATATTTGAAATAATAAGGGACCACCACAGGACAAATGAAATATTATGTGATTAAATATTTATAATGAAAATTTAAATGATCCTAAAATAAAGTTGATAAAGATAAACAAAAACATTGCATTAGTTGCATGTCCAAAAAATAAAGAAAACATTTTTTTTTAACTGAAATTTATTTCAATACCAATCAATGTTCATAAAATTAAAAGCACATTGTGTTGTATATATGAAATGCATAATGATTATTTGCACCATTTTGTGCAACTACATGGAAAAGCTATTAATAATGGAAGATCCAAAAATGTTTAAACACTGAATACTTATAGATTATTTATTCTAAAAATAAAATGTTTCTATTGATTTGTAAATTATAATTACAAATGTTGCCAACAAATGAAATCAAAATTAAAAATTATATTGTGTACATTTCTCGTCATTCTTACAAGTCTAGATAAATATAAATTAAAAACAATTTTTTGTATTTAATAAAATTTATAAAAAATTTTAGAGTCAGCATTGGTTTATTGCCAATGTCTTTGTAAGTTTATTAATATATCTACATTAGTTTTAATAAAATCCACGTATATTTCTAAAAATTGTTCATTTGAAAATCATTTTGTATGCACAACCTATTATCTAGGAATATTAGAGAAGTCTAATCGTTCAACAACTACTTTAACACCGTATGTTAGATCACTTATTAATTTCCATATTTTTACTTTTACTCTTTCTCCCTCTGATCCATCAAGATTAATAGATTTAGAATATTTCAAAACACTATCTTCGTTTACATTTTTTCTTCGTTTTTGACGCACTACAGTCTTACGTACAGTATCTTGATTTAATTGCTTTTTAAAAGTTTTTTCTAATAGTTTTCGAGCCCGTGTTTCCATATAATATTCATGTTTTGATGAAATCTCGTTTGACGTGGACAAATTTTCATTAGATTTAGCATATAATTTTGCATTTGAACGAGTTAGTCGAATATTATCCACTGAACTAGAATTAGAAATATCACTACTTCTTACGTTAGTACTTTTATGAGAACTGTCATCACTTGTATTTTCAGATGTAAACAAAGACTTTGAATTTATTGCATCGTTACTTACAGAATTAAATACAAGTTTATTTTCAATACATTCGCCATACCTCTCTAATTCATCTTGAACACAATTCTTTACACTGCTATCTTGAATCTCATCAATTTTATTATCTATAATAGTATTTTCAGGAGTGTCCTTAAAACTAGTTTTAGTCTTCTTATCATCAATACTTTCAAGACTAATACTACTATTACTCTGCAAAGTGTCATCATTCTTTTTACATATATGATTTTCACTTCTATGAGGTTGCTGCTCTATTGAGGATTTACTTTTTAAAGCCTTCAATAGCGCGGGTGGTATTTGATCATTTGTAATAATCTCATTAGATATTACTTTTGGAAGCTTTTGAGAATCCTTAACATAACTAGTTCCATTCGTCACGATACAAGAATTGGATGTACTCGATGTTGTTATTTTTGTAAAGTGCGGCTCGTTAATAATTTTTTCATCCCCCATCTCAATGTCATCCATTAGCAGATCTTGCAAACTGTTAGTTGATGGCGTTTTATTCATAGTTTCGAAATTACTGCCAAAGAATGTGTCATGCACCAGTGCCTCCGGTATGATATCTTCCTCTTCTTCCATCCTCAACTCCATATCGTCATCCTGATTGTCATCGTTCATGTACATACTTGAGTCATCAAAGGCCTTCTCAATATTAGCAAGATTTGAGTCTGTTATATCTCTATCTTCAAATAAATGCGACCAGCAGGTGGTCGTCTCAAGAACCCCGGTACTCTGACATATTTCTTCCGTCTCGCTCGTTTCCACTTCGTTATGTTTCTCCTTATCCTCGGAATTGATGTCGCTTGACAGATCCATGAAGGAGACGAGAGCGTTTTCACAGATGCCATTACTCCTTTGCTGGGAGAACGCTACAGGCTCCTGCATTCGCGTTATCATTTTTTCAAGCCTAAGTAAACTCGAATTAAGAAGACAGGGATCGCCTTCCTTTGTCTCGACCTTCTCCGAGTTCTCGAGCACTTCATCGAGCTCAAGCTTCGTTTTCTGCTCAACTACCGTGACGGTGTCCTTATCCTGCCTGATCGTGAACATGAGTCCCTTCATCACGAGGTCGGTTATATCGGAAGACCGTAAATTTGCGAGATCCGGTGGTGGCATCGACTCATTATCCCGTGACTCCTGTCTTGACCTGAATTTCACACTTTTTCGAGAGTCCCTTGAAGATTTAGAGTCATTGTCGCCGTCGTTGCTCACTGCGTGCTCTAAATCTTTAACACTAGATATCGAGTCCTCGTTCGGCGACGTTTTCACAATCCGAGAATTTTCAAGCTCCCTCTCAATGTCCCTCTCAATGAGGTACTGATACGGCATACTTGCCGAATCCGAATGTGTCTCACTACTGGAGTTGCTGTCCTCGTCGTTATCCTCATCAGCAGTATTACTGTCCAGGGCACATCCAGACAGTTCTGCAGCTTCATTCTGCCATTCGCAATTCACGTCTCTCGCATCGCTAATGTTGTTACTATTACTATTAGTATTATTGCTAGCGCTGCCGTTATTACTACTACTGCTACTGCTACTGCTACTACTGCTTCTACTACTGCTACTGCTACTGCTACTGCTACTGCTACTGCTGTCGGCTTTGCTGATTCCGGTGCTTTTGCCGTTTGTTGTATTCGGAATCCCCTCCGACATAGTGGCGTTTCTGTAAAATGAACGACCATTAATGTTAATTCATAATAAAACATATTGCTCGAAGAAATCTCGATAAATAAAAAATAATTTAATCTCCAATTTGATGTGATAAATTTTTCCAGGTAATTTCATTATTATTGTTATTGTTATTGTTATTGTTATTGTTGTTATTGTTGTGTTAATGTGTTATTATTGCAAGTGCTTTACTTATTTCTATTTAATCTTATAAATCTGATAAGTTACGATGATATAAAATAAGCATTTTTAGAACATAATTTTAAGTATATTAAATTGCTGGTTCGCGATATATTATGAAATTTAAACAATATATATTTACGTTTATATTAAAAAATTTTAAAAGGCGTTGTTCATAAAAAAAAAAGACGATTTATAATTGAATTTTTTTATTCAGACTTGTTTAATTTTTATATACGATAAGAAATAATTTTTTGAATAAATTAATCAATCAATGAATGTTAAACGAATACAACAAAATAATTACAATTTTTTGTTGAGAAGTTTTAAGTAATTTTCATTATTTACTATTTATAAAAATTATCAATGTTTTAAAGATAAAATTTTAGACAAGTTTTCATAAAAATGATAATTCATCGGTTCATTTAATTTTAATTGATATAAAAGTTATCAATAACCAACTTTTAAGAATAATTTAACTAATTTTTTATCTTTGAAAGGAAAATAGTTCATTTTCTCGTTGATAATAAAATTAAAATCATATATTTAAATAATTAATACTTTACAAAGCTATTACAACTCCAAATAACACTTACATATCTAATTAACTTAAACAGAACTATCTACTAATGATTACAAAACAATTTAAAACCAAACGTCATTAGTGCAATGAACTGTGATTGTTATAGAATGTTGAAATCGACATATTTTAATATATTTTATTTTAACGAAGATTAAAATTTTCAATTTATTTTCAAATTTCTCCAGCACAGAGTAAATAATTTAACGTTTGCACGTATTGTCGTATTAATATCATAATTCCAAATCCTGGTACATAATACAAATATTTTTTTTCTCCACAACTGATACAAGTTCCAAAGTGATATTCTAAGAGGCTTGTACATACCTTATTGTTAAATTTGCTGAAGATTTGCTGATTTTATCATCCAAGTCTCGCTGTTTTGATCGAGTACGTTGGGACCAGGATATATCCTTGTCGCTACTATTGTCCACTTGTTGGTGGACACTCGAAATCGCATCAACTGTCTTATCGTCGAAGGAGCTCAAGGGTCTCGAACGAGGAGATCGTGGCCCATCGAAGTCGGACACTTCTGGACTTTCACAGTGCGGTTTCGTCGACGACGTACCCATCATTTGTTCGGTCCGTTGTCTTTGTTCTTGATTAAAGATTTTTACTGTTAAGATAAATGCGTGGGGAAATGCGATAGCGTCCGGCCTGTCGCAGAACTTCATTATCGCGAACATTTTATCCTGTCGCGTCCACGATGCATGATCTAAATCAATTCACTGGGTTAAGGTAATTTGGCACTCGAGATTTATTATTTACGTGATTCTCCAAAACACTGTATAATTTGACGTACGTCGTCTGCCAATGCACTGATTGTAAACATAATTGCACAAAAGAATTTTTATACTGCGCTTTTAATCAGCGAATGAGCTTAACTAATAAGCTAAAATGTGTGAATGAAAAGTCCAATGTATTTAAAAATCTATTACAACAGATACTTTACAGATAAAACTTAATTTTTGTATAAATGATAATTGATTATTTAAAAATAAAATATTGATAATACACAAAAACTGAATTTCAATTTAATTTTAATACATTGAATATCAAAATTACGAATAATACTATAAATTAATATGTAACTGATAAACTTTAATGCATTGTTTATTTTATTTGAATAAATCGTGTATCTATATCAAATTTAATGAAAAATGAGTTTGTTAATTTACGTATTTTGTAATTGTCTGTGACAATAAAAAGGATACTGTAAGTGACAAGAAGATTTTTTGTACCAAAATGTTGACCTTGTCGTGGCTGCCACTTTATAACCCTTCTGATGATTTTCATCAATTCTTTACAATATGAAAAATCAGTAGAATTTCTGTAATATCATGATTATTTTATACAATATTAAGTTTATATTCTAAATTTCTAAGAATAATTAAAATTTTCCCTATTTGCTCAAATATTTTTGTTCTAATAGACATTTTACATATTCTACACCACTTTGATTAATTTAAAATAACGCTGACAAATTTTTCATAACATATGTTTATCAGACTTGAATCACCTTATCTATAGGTTCATGATATATGACATTCAAGTTTTTATACATATTACACCTACACGTGCCACATCATGATATTAAACTGATAAGTTGTTTAAATTACACAACTTTTTTTTCAATAAATTCAGATAAAAAATAATATTTTTCTTTATAAAATGTCATTAAAATGACATTTATAACTAAATTTACCTTATTGTTTTATGGAACTTGAACGTAAATTTATAAATATTATTTTTATGACATAACCAATAAGAACCAGGAATAGTTAATTTTGGCTCTTTGTCTCGATCTTGCCAATGGAGTCTGCCAAGCGTACGTACATGTATTCCAGGCATTTTCTTTCAGGCTTCAAATCGCGAAATAAAGGAATCAGCCTTGTGCGTTCCTCACCATTATTAGTGATCTCCTTAATAACAAATGTCAAGTAATATAAAACCTTTTGCTAAAATAATTTGAAAAATAAAATGATTAAATATTATAAACTAATAAATTTTACTATTTAATATATTTATATATATACCTCTGATATAACTTCATTTATGAAAACATCGCTTATAGTATTCCAAGGTAAATATTCTTCGAGTGCACCAAGAATAGTCTTTTGATTAATAATATGCACTCCCACTGATTCAACCAGTAACAATGTATCTAAAACGGTAAGGATTTTGCTTATTATATTTTTATTAAGTACATAATTTACAAGTAAATCTTATGTATTTCACAAGCATAATAAGATCGGTTTAGGTACTATTTTCATTTATAAATCACATAGTGAATATAACAATTTGATATTAATTTGCACGTAGTAGTTAAGTATTATAATATTATAAGAACACATCAACACAATACTGTATTTACAATAATACAATATTTTAGATAAATTAAATTTGTATCTATATTAAAAATGATATTTAATTAAAAACAAATATTAAAGTCATAAGCATTAATTATTAAAAATAAAATATGATACATGGTCATATAACAGCTACAAAGCAATGGGCACACAAAATAAACAAACATTGAATTTAAACATTCATCTTTGTACAGAGGTATATTTAATGATAAAATTAATGATTTATAATTATTAAAAGTTTTATGATCATATTAAATGAATTTTATACATTCTTAAGTATGTTTTCTTTAATGCTACTTTTAATCAACAACATTAAATATAAATATAAACATATACATCAATCAATTTACATTTGACCTTAAATACTAAATTATCATATGTAAGTAAAATTAATTTCACATAAAACAATGATTTTATCAAAATAGTAGTGTTTTATCAAACTCAATAAATTATCATAACAATGAATAATATATTATAAAATATATATCATTCAAATTATATATTAAAGCTTATCAATATTTATTTGTAATACTTTTTTTTATATCCAACATAAAATTTTAAGATAATTAAAAGACAAATAATAAAATAACAACTAAACTGAATTTAAAAAATCACTTTACAAAGAACATTTTAAAAATATTTACATTACATTTTCAATAACAAACTCATTATAACCTTATATTGCAGGCATAGAGTAGGACATTATCACAAGTACTTCTAATTAATAAATAAAATACAAAATTGCTATGAAGGTCAGTATAGATTCAATAAATAGTCTGTAGATATTGAAAATAGGGAACACACCTTTTTATTACATATATATGCAAAATAAACATTTAAAAAATTCACTTTACATAATGTTTCATTAAGAAATATATGCCTATTTTTACAAATTAAGTTAAAATATATACAGCACTTTAGAAAAGAATTTTTTTTATATTTTGTACAAAATAGAGTGAAAAGCTACAACGTAAAAAATGATAAATATAAAAAAACTGATATATTTACAATATTATTTACTTTAATTCATGTATAATTAATTGATAAATTAATTATATAATAGATAAATTTTAATTAATATACCTCTGAAAATTACGGCAAAAAAAAAAAAAAAAAAAAAAAAAAAAAAACAAGGCAATAACGATACAATACAATGATGATTTTGCTGGGATACAAAAACGCGGTCGTAAAATAAGTTAATAAAATATTTTTGTAAAAATCTGACAACTCGGCATGGTGATTTAATAATAAACGAGGTAATATAATTACAAATATTATCAAAAAAAATACACAAAGATAACAAAGGAAACGAGAAACTGAATTTTATTTTTATACGAGTACTGCTTTTAAATGGTCCCACTTTCACCAATTAAGCCAAGGCAATAAAAACGAGAGGAACAAGAAGAAAAAGGCTATTGAACCAGGCTATTAAAAAATACACATGGAAATAAAATTACTCTCTAAGGTACAAAGTCCATTAATCACAATTAAAGTTCATGCGAGAATCTCGGTTTGATCTGCGTAGGTGAAACGTAAACAACGCAAAATAAAAAGAAAAAAAAGAGAATCAGAAATAACGGAATAAAAGACTAAGCAGAGGCGCACTCACTGGTCCTGTCGGAGAGCAGGACGCTTCCGAAGGCTAAAGCCAGGCCGACGAGCCCAAGGGCGACGCTGATTGTGGAACGCGCGGTCGTCCAGAGGACGAGACCGAGCGAGAGGAGCCCGAGGTCTGCGGCAGTAAAGCCACGCCGGCTCTCGTCCTTCAGCACGTACTCGATCGCGCCATTACGGCCGGCACCGTCGTGCCTGGTCTCACGCAGGCTAATCCCGTTGCCGCGGGCGCTCCGATAGCGACGCACCGCCGACGTCTGCTGCAGCTGCACCGTCGACTCGGGGAGCCTGGCCGTCGCCCTCGATGACATTAGTAGACACTGCGACGGGGGGCTGACCGACCCCCCCGGACACTACACGTTTGTGCCTCTCGCTCTTTCACCGCCTCCTTCCACTTTCTCGCTCGTCCTTTTTTACGCGCTCGCTTCCTCGCGTCCACCCTTCCACCCGCGGCAACACACGCGCGCTCTTGCTCTTAGAAATCCTTTTTTTTTTTTACTAAGCTCCCGCGGAGACGGCGCTTGTCGCCAACGAACCCTTCGGAATTCAAGCCCCGGCAGCAGTTCGTTGCACCTTCGCTTATTCACATTGCGGCTGATCAGCGGATTCTCCGCCTCGGGGAGCAGCACGAGCTTCGATGTTCTGTCCTTCCTCCCTCGGCCGCTCGTCGACTCTCGTTCACAATTTCTTTGGCTCAAATGTACTTCCCCCTCTCCCTCACCCCGAAAGAACTATAAAAGATAGCGGTAGCGAAGATTGCAGCTTATTAGCGCACGTGTTTATAATCTTGAGTCCCGAGGCTCACTGCGAAATTCTTGGCCCACCCAGGAGTATGCTTGGACTTATACTCGAATCGTTACCACCATCGCTATTGCTTAAGCTGCTACTATTACTGTTGCTGCTTCTATTGCTGCTACTGCTTTTGCTACTTTAGCTGCTCTGTTTACGATGTGCGCGTGTGCGCGCGCAAGCCACCGATGGTGCGCGAGCGGCTTTTTTTCGTCTTTTCTTTGTATCATATTTCACTCGTTCCCTTCCCCTCCGCCGCCGCACACCGACCATCCCTCGCTCTATCTTTTCCTCTCTCTCTCTCTCTCTCTCTCTCTCTCTCTCTCTCTCTTCCCTTCTACTAACCCTTCATCTTATTTATTTTTTGATCGATTTATTTAATAATCAAGATTAAGCGCTGTTGCACCTTTGATGTACGCACACATTGCGCGCGGAAATTATTATAAGGACAAATAACAGGCATCGGCAAGGTTAGAATATATCTAAACTCTACAGGGATCTTATAATTTTAATAGAATTATTTATTTACCTCGATGTATTAAACTAGACGAGAGCTCAATTTTATTTACTACATGCTCTGTATTTAAACTAACTGCTTAACGCGTATTATTTGAATATGTTTGTCAACGTTTTGTGTGTGTGCGCGCGCGTGTGTATATATATATATATATATATATATGTATGCATATATATAACTGCATAACCAGTTACTATTATTTTATATTTAAATATTTTGCCGATTGCAGGAGATTGGATCTACGTCGCGGTACTTTTCTCAAATGTACAGAACTCATGTGTATATACCGGCAGTCGAAATAGTTGCAAGAGCGAATTTGATAAAGATATGATAAAACGAGTGATAAAAAATGTGACGGTACATAAGTTGAGACCGACTGAAAAGAAACGTGAGACGTGAACGCTCGAAGCCTTTACCTCTATGTTGAAATAATGCTAAACTACGTTTGTAATATCAATCAGTCCCAAGCGCGAGAAGGGCTTCTCTTCTAAGCATGTTTGCTAATTGTTGCAATTCGGATTAAGAAGTCAATGTAGCTTTTACAGAGGTACGTTATATACAATACCTTAGTTATACTATGTCCCTCATCCGCCCCACCCCCCTCTCGCAACACCTCGTTCTCACAGTCCCCCTCACTCCATTCCTTCCTTCCTCCTACCCCTCTTTTCACCCACCCTCCATCAGTAACCATATTCAGAAACTCGATATTTTATTTGCTTTCAAAATAATTAATGTTCAGCATTACAATTCTATGTTTGATCTTTTAATTTTTGTATTATATTAAACAATATCAAATAAATCATCATTAATTTTTTTATTAATGATTTTCAAACGTGGTTGTAAATTCACACGTAATGTATGTTCGCATATTCGTTAATTGATCATTGAGTATTCCGCATTTTAATTATTAAAAATACTACGCGTGTAAGTGATACGTAGGCGCATGCATACTTGCACGCCACGCGTAACAGATGCGTTTACAACATAACTGCACATAACAATTACGTGAATTGTATTTGAATTAATTGGTTTAATCTTTATGCAGAAACTTTATTCAATCTAAGCCTTATTCACTCGACTTATAAGTACAGAGATTCGATGACGTGCACGATCAATTTAAAGCCCGCCAAATATTTTTAAAGCACACATGTCCGTGAATGAACTCATCATTACGTATTCTATGGAGACACTGACGGGTGAACTGCTGAACTAGTCACGGTTATCGATCTCTGCTATTTATTTTTCCGCTTGGACATTGATAAAATTATTAAAAAAAAAAATGGTGTTGAGCCATAAACAGAAAGGTGATAATTAGTTTTTCTTGGAAGCGTCCGTTCATAGAACGTAATTCTAGTATTCAAATAAAGGAATCTTACATGGAGAGGCAAATGTCAGGGCAGTCGTCATCCTCGCAAACAGAAACGGTCGTGGACGGGGGAACGCAGGTATTTATATTTTCTTATATATGAAGTTTTTAATTTATTTGCAAAATCGTGCCGATTCACATATCTTATTAGAGAGATAAGGTTTATTGCATTAATGCGAGACGAAAGCTACTTACGTTTTAATGATCTTTAAATGCATAAATTTATGTCTATTGCGCATTGTTTACTTTGTGAAGTGACGAATATGATAAATGCGTTTTCGAAATCAAACGAAGTTAAAAGAAGGAAAGGAATTTTATAACATTTTTTTTGTATACGAAGACCTATTGCAATGGGAATGAAAATTTTATACTTATTTCCAAAATCAAAACTAAGATTTACAAAGACAAATGCGACTTTGAGAAGCTTCTTATATTCAACAAATACCATTGATAAATCTCCTTTAAATGGGATTAGAATTCTGGATCTTACTCGAATAGTTGCTGGACCATATTGCACCATGATTCTTGGTGATTTAGGAGCTGAAATCTTGAAGGTAGAACAACCAGATGTAGGAGATGAAGCCAGAAAATGGGGGCCACCTTTTTTTAAGGGTACTATGGAATCTACGTACTTTGCTAGCTTAAATCGTAATAAAAAAAGTATCTGTATTGATTTCAAGAAAGGGAAGGAAATTATTTATGAGTTAGCCAAAAAGTGTGATGTTTTAATAGAAAATTATGTACCTGGAAAATTATCAAAAATGGGCTTGAGCTATGATCACTTGAAAAGTATAGCGCCACAATTAATATATTGTTCATTAACTGGCTATGGATCTGAAGGACCTTACGCAAGTAGACCAGGATATGATGTAATAGCAGCATCTTTAGGTGGGCTTATGCATATAACAGGTAGGTTAATATCATGATTTTTTATCAATAGATATTATTTTTTCACAATCTTAACATGTTTGTCTAATATTTTTATTGATATAAAATTCAATTTATATATCATGGTAATATTAATATTAACAAAGCTATTTTACTATAAAGGACCAAAAGATGGGCCACCATGCAAAACGGGTGTAGCATTGACCGATCTTATGACTGGATTATATGCTCATGGTGCAATTATTGCAGCTCTTCTTCAGCGAATAAAAACTAATAAAGGCCAGTGGATTCAATGTAATCTCTTATCAACTCAAGTGGCTAGCTTAATAAATATTGGTTCCAATTACCTTAACGCTGGTAAAGAAGGCACAAAGTGGGGCTCTGAACATGAAAGTATCGTTCCATATGAAGCTTTTCGTACAAGAGATGGTTATATAACTGTCGGAACTGGAAGTGATTTACAATTTTCTGCCCTTTTACAGAAATTAAATTTAACAAATTTAGAAACTAATAAAAAATTTAAAGGTAATAATAACAGAGTAAAAAATAGAGATGAATTATTGAAAATATTACGACAAAAATTTAAACAGAAAACTAATCAAGAGTGGAATACAATTTTTGAGGGTTCAATATTTCCTTATGGCCAAATCAATACTATAAAACAGGTAATTATTAATTATTTTATTCAAATAGTTTGTTATATAAATGATCTTATTTAATGTTTTATTGAATGAGGCATATACCTTACATTGAAATAAAAATACAATATTTTTAGAATATTTAATTCAATATTCTAATCAATTTTAATTAATTAGATAATAAATTCGTTTTAGGTATTCGAAGACCCTCATATTGAGCATATAAAACTGGTAAAGGAAATCGATCATCCTATAACAGGAAAAATGAAGATTGTAGGGCCTCCTGTGAAGTATTCTTATTCAGATAATTCTATCCGACAACCACCACCTACTTTAGGTCAACATACATTTGAAGTTTTAAAAAGTATTTTAAACTATTCTGATGAAACTTTAGAAAGATTAAAAATAGATAAAGTGATACAATAATATTTTTATAATGTTTATATTTTATAAATAAATATATCTATTTTGAATAAACATATCTATGTACATTTGGAAATAAATGTATCAAACATAAAATAGTATTATTTTTTATAATCACCTAATTTCATTCAATTTTTCACTTTTACATATAATTTTTTTTTTTTTTAATATATTTTACAGGATGTTCCAACACTTCGATTGCGTCTGCGAAAGCCAAAATCAGATAAAAAAGTGCAATGGACACAAGGGACAATTGACAATGAACAAATGAACAAAAAGAAATCAAAATGTAAGTCTTGCTAACTTTAAAAATAATTTATTACAAGATATACTAATGAAATATATTTTCTTAGGTTGTTGTATATACGAAAAGCCTAAAAACTTTGGTGAAAGCAGCTCAGAAGACACTGATGATGAATGCGAACATTGTCATGGGCGTCAGGATGCTCACAAAAAACCTGTACCAACTAATAAAGACGAACCACCTGGAGATGCAATTCCAACTAATCCGCGTAATAATCTCTTTTTATTTAATGTGAATTATCCTTTAAAAAGTATAATTGGACTAAAGTAACTTTAAAATTGAATTAATTAAATTTTTAGCAAAATTATAATTTGTTATTAAAGCCTTTCCTTTGAAATAAAGAAGTTTTAAAAAATCAATTATATTAAAAAGAGTAAGATGTTGTTAATACGAACGTATTAAATTTCTATTATACAGAAAAGTTAAATTTACAATAATTGGAATAAAGATACACATCTTTATTTTATTATTGAGCGTGATGTAACTTATTTTAAAAATTATTGGAAATATGATTATTTTGTTAAAATATGATGCTTATAAAAATAATCATACTATAATTTCTAATTAATCCAAACATTTTTATTTGCAGAACCAATTGCTACAGGGGGATCCGCCTAAAATTTTAGATTGCTAGAATAATACTAATAAAATACGAATTATATTAATTGTCGTATAAAATCAAAAGTCAGGCGTATTTGACTGTGATTTTGTTATTTATTGACATGAATATTTCCATTTTTTAAATATATATGTACAGATAAATTAAATAATGAAGTTACATAATCTATTAATCTCAGAAAAACTAAATTATTTAAAAATATTTATAAAGGAATAAATTCTAGAAAAACCGTTATCATTTCAAAGAAAAATTAATTTTTAATTGCATTAAGTATCCATAAAATAATTAAAATGTATCAGAAATTGAATTAACCGCAATTATCAATAATTGTTGAAAGTTAAAAATTATTCATTATAAAATTTTATTTCAATGATTTAGAAACAACTTAGTAATATAAATAAATTGTCCCTAATATTTGTAAATCTTTTTCGTAATAACATTTTTATTGAATGATAACATTGAAGGATCATTAATCAAATAAAGATACTAGTTTATTTGCAAAAATATGTAGATAAATATTGCGAAGAAGATAATATATAAGTTACACATATTTTACGATAGATTTTTCCATAATAAGATTTTGTAATGATCTAATTTATAACATAAGTAACATTTTGTTAATTGGTATTTTCACAACATTATTATGGATACAAAAGCACACTAAAAGTTAAGAGGAATGAAATATATAACACTGTAGTAAAAAAATTTTTATTTCTTAAAATTATACAGTCCTTGTTTTACTTTAAGAATGCTAATTTTCCTTTTAACATTTCTTTATATTTTGAATGCATCATAATAATATTTATATAAAATCTTTCATTCAATAAAATATCCTTATTCTAGTTGTAAAATGAAAATTTATTTTACTCTACCTTGAAGTTTAAAAATAGACTAAAGTTTCCGTGACATAATTGATTTTTTGTTTATTCATTTTTATATGTATAATAGGGCGTATAGTAATTTACATGTTACATTTATTATATACAAATTTTAGTAGCAAAAATTTGATTATAAGTACAATTTTTCAATATATTGTAACGAGTCGGTTATCTGTCGTTAGTCATTAATTTCAGATTCTTTGCTTGTGATTGATATTATGAATTAGAAACACCAAATACGAGATGGAAGTATCGAACGAAACCTAAACAAGTAGAAATAGTGCACGATAGTTAAATCGAGCCTTGTACGTAATCGCACATACCCACGAAAATTCCTACCTCTATCCATTCCTAAGGCTAATAGTTATATCTGTCACCTATCGCGACCAACCGTCGGCTTACGCAATTGAAAAGTGTATTATTGTGCATTGTATATATAAGGCTGAAATGAGCCGAACATCAATTACGAATGTAATCACATCTGAGAGAATTTCGATATCTCAATTATCATTGGAACGATCCAATTGTAAGTGCCAGCTTATTTATTATCTTTATTATTTTTTTCTCATTAAATTACTAACGCTGTGACGAGTACCTGAGCAAATCCTAACACGAGGTCAGCCTTCCTGTACGTTAATTATAAACAATACAACCGTACCTGTAAATTCACGTGTGTAGCTCATGCTGTATCATAAATTATATTTTTTATTTCATCATATATGATATTTTTCCTAATACCAATATCGATTTTTAAAAACGCAGCGTTTACAGATATTATAACGTATTTATCGTTATAATGTATAGAAAATATAATCATAGTTTGCAAAAAACTTAACAATCATTGCACATAGCATGATGATTAAATTACTCGCTATTTATTCTTAAATAGAGTTCCACGTTTTAATATACCATTTAAAAATCTCCGTTTTAAAAATCTTCATTTTATTTGGTGTCTTTATAAAAGCTGGAAATATTTAAAATATTCACGCAGAAATTTTTTAATATTTAAAAAATATACGCATTATGTTCTGACAAATTAAACGCCATTGAGCAAATATTAATATACTCAATTTATTTACATTTCATTGTGAAGATTTTTAAATTGGAAATTTTATGGCTTTTAGTCAGTCAATATTACAATTGCTTCTGTGATATTTACGTCTTTTTCTAACTTCCTTGCCTCGTCGATACATAGCTTCATTGAGTCCAAGAGATTTAGTCATTGCTCGGCTTCTCCAAACTTTAATTGTATAGTCGTCGCTAGTAGTAACTAACATTTCAGGATTACGAGGATTGAAAGCTACTGAATTAACTACATCAGAATGTGGAAATTTGGCTAAGCATACACCATAGTGCCTATCCCACAAGTATCCATGTTTATCTTCAGCACCACTAGAAATAATTTTTTATTTTTAATTCCTTTTTATTTGCACAGTGAATAAATATTTTTGTTTAAAAAATTAGTAAAGACAATAAAATGATTATATAATTGAAATTTATTATTTTTTTATATAAATACACAATTGATAATTACCTTGCAACATATTCATTGCATACGTCTAAAAATATAAAAAAACAATCATTGTTTGGTGTGTAAGCTTTATGAGCTCTAAGCATTGTGCCAACTTGTTTTAATGTTACTAAATCTATAACGTGAATATCAATTTCTTGAGCTATTGGTGGAGGTTGTAATGGATTTGTAATTACGTAACCTCTGGGCCAAGGCCTTGTATTAATGTATAAATATCTGTAAAACAAAATGTGTAAATTCATTTTAAAAGTTCTAAAGGGTATACTTTTAATATATATATTTTATATTATATATAAATATTATATATATATATATATATATATATATATATATATATATATATATATATAGAGAGAGAGAGAGAGAGAGAGAGAGAGAGAGAGAGAGAGACAAAAAAAAGAAAGAACTAAAAAATTGTGGTTGTTCAGTTTTTACATTAAATAAAATAAAAACCTATGATCAGGTGATAAGCCCATTCCAATGATGTGACCATGAAGATCAATTAAGTGATCAATTTTATCAAATTTGTCAGCTACAGATTTATAATCCAACCAGTTAGGTTCTGGTCGAAAGGAACCATTGTTTTGCATTTCTCGTTCTCTATGTCTTTGAGCAAGTCTTTCTTGTAAAGACGGACCAGGATCAAGTCTTCTAGGAAAAGTGACTGGTTTAATTCTTTTAAACCCAACTTGATGTGGTGTATACGTTTTGGAACCAGTTGTAAAAATAAGGAACTTTTCAGGACAGTCAGCTAAGTCATCAGAATCCTCACATTCTTCAGTTGATAACGAATCTAAAATATTGATTAAAATACATAACAAAGTTGTTAATGAATTATCATTTTAAGTAATTATAATAAATCATAATGAATGATCAATATCATTTTATGTTCTAGATAAATTTTTAATAATAATGAAATTTTAAGTATAATTATAAAAAATTATCGGATATAGTAAATATTTCACATAGTAATTAAATCTGTTTAAATCATTATAAACAACATAAACACATCGGATACCTTTTTTCATAGTAGAAAATATAAATTTATTATTTTTTATTTTACCTTCTTCTTCGCTCTCGTCTTCGCACTGAGGACTTGATTCATTATCACTATCACTATCTCCAGTTTCTTTTTCCATCTCTACTTCTCTATATTCTTGATTGTATCGAATTGGACTGGCATACTCAAAACCATCACCCAATTTTCTCCAGTTCATAAAACCACCTTCTAATGTACTATACCTACAACATAGTTGAACATTAAAAATAAAATCAATATAACGTAATTCTTCATTAAAAATTAATTTACTGTAATCTAGATGATGCATGATATAAAACTTCAGGTTCTTCCTTTTCTGTTTCTTCATTAGTTGAGTCAAGAGAAATATCTCTGTGACTCAATGGATTTCCTTTCTCTTGTTTCATATTAGAACTAGATGGCTCACTATTTTGTGCGTCAGATTCCGTTAATATGGGTGACAAACAATTTGCGACCATAACTGCTCTAATCAATGATGCATTTCCATTGTAAAAGCTGTAAATAATAATATAAGTATGATAATAAGCTCTAATCAAGTCTATCAATTAAAAACAAAAGTTGTCTATTAATTAAAAACTTATCCATTACCGGTATAATTGATTCATAATAGGTACATGCTCGCTTCCTGTTTCCTGATTAGCCTTATTGAGCCACAAAACACTTGTGCTGACCAGGTGAGCTAGCCAATGAAGGCCACCACTTAAGAGATACCGTTCACTGTACCAAGTACCAAATATGTCATATGGTTTATTTACAACTCTACACTGCAATTCAAAGCCTTCTGTAAAGTAAATTTCAAAAATTTTATTTTAAGATTTCATTTTGACATAAGTAAAATAATTGATTTATTCGATAAAATCGTAATTACAGTCATTATACGTTAATAAAATGTGTAACGGTAATTTTATTTTATTTTACAATGAAATAGTTTAATTACTCACATTGTTTGGATAAAATATATTACACTTGATATATTACAAATTTTATTTTTCATATCAATTAATTTTATACTTATAATTGATGAATTTAAAAGTAACATGTAATTAATGTATTTATTAAAATTAAGTAATTGAGGTGATGTATAAGACATTTTTAGATGATCTATTTTTCTTGGCACCTTTTAATTAGAGTATACCGTGAAAGAAACTTGATAAGTTAATAATAGTATTAATAAGTAAAATTCTATCTTAGAAGGGGTCAATATAATTATTTAAAAGTCAAAGCTTAATTTCTAGATAAATATTTACCTGCTAGTCTGAATACAGCTATTTCACCCGATGTACTATGTGGAGTACCAAAATGAACACCAGATACTAACAATAAGGTATCGGAAGAATTAAATTGTGAAAACTGTGTGTATTTCCAACTAAAAACCTTCATATCGTACTGATATTTAATTGATACTGGGTATTGACTGTTCCAAACCTACATAACAAATTATTATTAGTAATTTATACATAATAAACTGTATAAGTTCTGTATAACTTTCTGATTTACCAATATGTAGCCATCTTTAGAGCAAGTAGCAAACATCTTTCCATTATGAGAAAAACTGACATGTAATACCTGATGGGAATGTTCTCTTAAAGTTTCTGTTGCTATTAGTGGTATGTGATACGCTAAGCGTTTAAATTCACTTAACCAAGATGTTTTTCCTTAAATTAAAAAGAAGATTGACAATTAATATATCGTTAAAACAATAAGTAACTTTACACTTTCTTATTAAATTAAACAGTATTTTCATTATATTTTACTGTATTAACTGACTTTCAAAGAATAACAATTAATTAAATTATTTTATATAAAATCTGTTTAGTATATTAAAGCTGAAATTTTTGAGTAATATAAAAAGAAAGTGACATTAACAAATATCATATTTCAATTCTAGAATGAATCATCCAGCGTTAATAATTTTACAAAATTATACATTGATATAAATAATATCTTCATAAATTGCTTCATTAATATTACACACACGGGCACGCACGCGCGCGCGCGCGCGCGCGCACACACACACACACACACAGACAAACTACAATTAATCAAGTTTTTAATCTAATCAATTACAAATTAATTAGTGATCGTAGTATAAAGAGTAAAAAGAGTTGCTTCTCACCTGGCATAATGCCAACACAACTATCCACTTTGTAAGTTCGATAGAATAAGGCCTTCCAAAGTAATTCATCCTGCGACACCCTATTCCAAGACCTGCAGACTTCGCCAGCAGTAAGCAGTTCCTTGGGATTCAAGTACTGAAATATACTTAAAAGTACAGAATCCGGCATGAAATACCAGTCGACTTTGCATCCAGCTTCCATTTCTACACTCTTCGACTCCTCGTCCTCGATGCTTTTCGGTTCCTCGCCCTCGATGGTTTTCATTTCCTCGCCCTCGATGCTCTTTGACTGCTCGTCTACGACACTCTTCGGTACCTCATCTTTCTTGCCATTCTCGACAACCGGTGCCTCTTGTTGTGCCTTCTCCTCCATCGTCGCTACGGTTCTTTGTTTACAAGAAACACTAACAGTAATGCAGTTGTGGGGCCGCGTGCGCACTGGCACGTCACTACGTCAGCAACAAATAGTGGCACCGACAACAATGATTCCACCTCGGCTCCTACGTGCTCAACAAGCCCGCAAACCTCGCCAAATGTAGGAATGGGCTTCTCGGAGGATGATGCTTTTCTTCATCGCAACGACTCACCTCACGCTATCAGTTTGCACGCACCGCTGCTTCGCTCCTCTTCCTATGGGCATTAAAGAATGACTCGTTGCAATTGTTTCGCAGTGCGCTTTTATCCGCATACCCACGAAATGTACATCCTACGTTTTATTTGGAATGCACTTACAACGGGACTAACGATAATGATATTGAACGGTTATTCGGCCGATAATGGAATGGTTGCGACGCGTGACAATAGTCAAGTCAATGATAATTCGCAATTTCTAAGTACTCCATATCCACTACATCTTTGTTTTTGTAATATTTTTAACTTATCCACTCTATTATTAAAAACAATGCGATAAAAATATATCTACAACATGAAGATTTGCGAAAATTTATTTCTTATTTATCAGAAATTTACATTTACTTGTGTTATGCTTAGTTATAAATAATGGCAATAATTGTCAATTTAAAAAAATATTTACAAATATATATTTTTAATGTAATAAAAAGAATAAAAGTCGAAAATATAATGACAAGCGATTAAATTTTGTGGAAGATTTAATTAGTAAACAAGTCTAATACTGTTGGTTCGACAAACCTTCAAATTTCTTCAAATTTTGAATTCAAAATTCACCATAGAATTTACGATTCGTTCCCTTGTTACGAAGTTAACCTCTTTCATAAACTTCACAATTTGAACGCATTTCTTGTGACTGACCTTTCATTAAATTCATACGCAATACTGCCAAATTTAACCACAATCGCACATCATTATTAAATCAAAATTATCCAAAAATAATAATAAGCGACAAATTCACGTTCCAATTTCAATACGGATGATTTTTCAAAAACAAGCTATAGTTAACATCAAGCGTGACAGATGCAAAAACATAGGAATACCCTACCTCTGCATCTCATGCGCCTCAAAAGCAAGAGAGGAAAGGCTTTCAAATATTAAAAAACCTGTAGCGCTGGTAGAGTACGAGACGCCCTGACAGACTTACCACTCCTTGAAAGTCGGGGGATTACGAAGGATATTAAACAGGCAGTACACATACCAATGCAGTGCCCGTACGACGCACACAATACATTGGCAGTACCTTCCGCCCTTGCGTGCTTCTACTCTCGCGCTCCATAAATGTGTGCACGACGATTATATATATAACGCCGCGTAAAGTGAGTGGGAATGAGTGTGACGGGTTGCGGGAGCAGGACGGAAGAGGTACAATGCCGTTCGCGGTGCAGCAAAAGCAAACTTAGCGCGTAATGCGCATAGCCCAATGCGCGCATGCACGTGTGATATTCAACGACAGCCGTCGTCGCACTGAATTGCTGCGCGTCACCATAGTCGATTATACGGATAATACCGCCGCTCGTTATTTTTTCCGATCACTCTCCCCTCGACACCCCGACAAGCCCCGTGTATTTTGTGCAAGCATGGAGAAAGAGTGAGTAAGCGAACGAGAGAGAGAGAGAGAGAGAGAGAGAGAGAGAGACTACTTTTTTGCGATGTTACAACGCTATGATTACGAAAATTACTCGTTTCTTATATACGGGTAATCAATGCAGCAAGGGAGCTGCCCGACGTCTCTCAGATTATATTGCTTCTTTTCTTTGACACGTCCTGGCAAATACCCCAGATAACGAGAGAAATGTATCTTGACACGCGATGCATCCTTGCATTTTTGTTCACGTACCGCGTCTATATTTTATGAAAAGTAGGTGCTGCTTTCCGGAATGCGTCGGTTAAGAAGGAAAAAGACTTACCAGCTCGCAATTATTTACAAAGCATATAAGATTTTGCTAGTGATTTAATTGATTTACAATCATTACATTATTCATCATTATCAAAGAATTTACATTGTCTTTGAAAAAGTAACATTTAGAGTAAATTTTTTGGATTTATATTTTTTTTTTATTTATTTATGGGAAAATTGATCTTCAAATTCGCATCTAAAGAGTAACAATGATAATTCGAAAGAATGAATATCAATTTATTTTAATGAATTAATAAAAATGTCTAATAAAAATACATGCATTAGAAAATAAACATATTGTTTATTGTCATATTATTATTTACGTTTCGGAAAACAAATTTTTACACGAAAACGAATACTTATATAAATAATTAAAATTTACATGCAAAATTATTCATTGAATACTATATATTAATTATATTATTTAACAGTTGGTTAATGTTGGCTTTAATATGAAAATTTTTTTATAAAATATAAACGCGTACGCGTACACCTATGAATGTCCATATACGTTGTTAATTTAAAATTTAATATTGTTTTATAAATGAAATAAAAATTATTAATTGTTTCTTCATAAATAATGTATAAAACCTAAAAGTAACGGTTTTCCGAAATTGCTTATTTCATCAAGCGAATTTCCGCAAGCATGTTATAAAATTTTGATTGCATTTTCTAAGTTGATGATCTGCATTTGAAATATATATAGAAGAAATATTATGTATGAATAATACAAATATTCAGAGATACAGTAAAATCTAACGATGCATGCGAAATTCCAATTATACAAATATATCAAATTTTTAGAATTAATTTAAACAATTTATAATTTGTAAAATTGTAATTCACATTTTTAATGTGCAATTTTGTTTTATCCATATAAAACTGCAAATACAAAATATATATTTTAATTCATTCTCGTAAGTAAATTAATACTTATTTATAATTAAAATTAAATAAATGTTACAATAATTGTATTAATTTAAATTTAACTTTAAGCTAAATTAATTCATTTAATTCAGAAATGAAATTGAAATTAAATTGGAAGTGAGTCACAACTTGAAATAATAAAAATAGGGTGAGGTATGCCTGGTGAGTAATACATACTGTAACATTATTTTTTCATTAAATTTCTTTTTTTTATATAAATAATAAATTAAAATTAGTTATAAATGTAATAAAAATATCTCAAGTAATGTCTATTTTTAAATTATAAATTATCATTTTATAATGATCTGATATAATAATTTATACTATTAAACTAATGTGTCGATTTTCATTTATGTACATTTATTTGTTGCACAGATCATCTTTATTTCAAATTTTTCATCTACATATCATAAATAGATCAATATATTTTTTATAAATTAAGATACCGCCACATTTAAATATACAGATATAACATTTCATAATTTCATTATTAATATTCATGAACAATTTTTTTATATATTATTTTTTAAACCCCTTTATCTTCATTCGCTCTCTTTCTTCTTATGTATTCCGTTACTTTTACTAAACTCTCATACATAATTTTTTATTCGCCCATCAAATTAATTCAACAACAATAAAACATTTATTTAATATCTATATCCTTAAGCAAATAACGTAACAAAATATACCTACAAGGATAATACTCACTAAACGTAAGTATAATGAAACTACATGTATTTTTTAACTAAGGTAATTTTATATTGAGATACCTGTTTATGAGTACGCGGATCTTTATGTATCTATAACTATGTTCGCGATGCTTGAAATTATTTTTTGTATTTTTTCAAATGAATCTATGTTAAACATATACATCAACACTGTTTTGTAAATGACCTTTTTCTTATTTCATTTTTTTGGCATGAATTAATATTATTCAATGAAAACAAAAGTACAGATTTGTTTCACGAGACAAAAATTTTTTATCGTGTTCTTGACTAATTTAATTAGACGCAACTAATCTAAATGAAATTTCTACAATACACATATACAAATAAAGTTGTATCGATTATCACGCAATTGCACATTGCCTTTGAATTACTGCATTTACAAGTTAATCAATAGTTAAATGTGACCAATAGATTTATATATATATATATAGGACTGAAATTTACAAAACTTAATGTTTTCTAAAAATTGTTACTATTTTACAAAGAAACTTTACAAATAAACACTGTTTAATAAAGACTCACGTAACAAAATAAAGCAAAATTCTCTAGCTTTCTATTCATGCTCTTTAATTATATAAAATTATAAAATATTTATTTCATTTAAATGCATAATTAAAAGGTAAAAAGTGTCAGAGATCTATTGTTTGTTTATACATATACATTGGATTAAAAAACTTAAAACGATTAATGATGTTTATGATGATGTGGAAATGATCATTTTTTATAAATACCAAACCATCAAAACCTTCTATGCACAATATTGCATGATTGTGGTTTGAAGTTTGTTAAATTAATAGAGCAGAAAATATCAGCTAATATACATTGAATTGCTCTTCTGTAAAAGATTATGATGTACCCATAGAAGTTAAAGACTGATTAAAGATTTTCATAGACCAATCAAATGGTTGTCTAACAGAGGATAGACTTATCCATTAAGGCTAATCAGGTAGCTATTGTAACCAATACAAAAGTTCATCATTACAGAATTAACTCAAATAGTTTAAGAAGCATTTAAAAGTCCTCTGTGTTGTAATGAATCTTGTAATGTCTGGAATAATTGCAATTGTTGTTCAGGTTTCAATGTAAATACCTGGAAATGAAAATTATATTTACATAAGTTTTTACTTTTACAAGAATTATATTTATAACATTTACTTTGTTTCCTATGTATAAGAATAATTTTTTGACAATCCTTTTTGTAAAAATTATATTAAACAAATAAATATAAGATAAATATTAAATAAATGTTTTAAATTGATTGACTGATTCGTTGAAAACTTTTTTATAAAAGAGGCTAATTAAGAGAAGTTAATTTAGTTACTTTTAAGGTGCTTCCAAAAAAAAATTGTTATTAACATTTTATAAGAATATATGAAATATTAATAAACGTATAATTAATGTAAAGCCAATTAATGTATATATATATATATATATATATACATAATATTGTTTTTATTTTTAATGAATTTATTTAAAATTTTTTGGCTTGCAAATGCTTTTGATGAAAATATTATGATTGTTTAAAGCTTATTCAATAATTAATGCATGTTCTAATTTATATATACAAATATATTATAATTAAAAAAATAACTATTATTCTATAAATGGAGTGAATATTGATTATTGGCTACTAACTTGCTGTAAAAGTTTCTGTGGAGAAACTGTATGAATAAAACTTGAAATATATACATTGACAAATGTAGCCATCAAATATTGACAATCAAATCTATCCATTATTCCACCATGACCAGGAATAACATCACCAAAATCCTTAAACATAAAATTATTTTATTTGTGACAATTGAAATGTTATTATAAAATAAATATAATATCATTACTTTAATTTTAAATGCTCGTTTGAAACCACTTGCAAAAAAGCCACCAAATGGTCCTATCACTGAACTAAATACAGAAAGTGATAAGGAATGTAACATAAATGGATACATTGTAATAGTTGACTTCCATTTAAACTATAATAAAAAGATTTTATACAAAATATAATTTATATTTGGCATTATTAAAAAATAATTCATAATAATTACCATATTGGGTACTATTTTAAGATAACTTGGTAAAGTATATTCTTGTGGTTTAAACAAATAAGAAAGTTCACATTCCATTGTCATTCTACCCAGAGTTTCGCTATATTCAATAGGACAGACAAAATAGCGGTATTGGCTCATTGCGTACGATATCTACAAGATAAAATGTTTATTTGACAAATTTTCTTTTTTTAATATCTAACATATTTTTATAGCTTACAGAATATATATAAAAATATATTTTTTGAATTTATTGAAGAATATATACTTTATACATAATATTCGGATATTTCGTAATTTAAATATTATTTATTGTAATATATTATTTAAATGTTTAAAATATCATCTATATTTTAAAAAATACTTTGGCCATTATAAATTAACAATTTTATCTATATTGTAATATTAAAAAAACAATAATCATGGTTCAAAATAATATTTGCTTATATGTAATGTTTAAAAGTAGATAAGAAAATCTATTAAAATGAATGTAAATTCAACATTAATATTTTTTATTATATTGATAAACTTAAAGTAGTAATACAAGTAGAGTACCAAAAATACAAAAAAAATAAAAATATTTTCGTTATCGTATTTAAAAGCTACTAACCAATAAGCCAAGTACGACAGTTGAAATACCACCGCCAACAAAACCTTCCCATGTTTTTTTTGGCGATAACTTGATTAAAGGTGTTTTGCCAAAAAAGAATCCAAATACATATGCCATTACATCATTAATTACAATCATGCTTACAGGTACAATGAACCTACAAATAATTTAAGAGATAGTGGAATTAAATTGTATTATATATACTAAAAAAATAATGTACCTTATTGGACATTAACTCACCATATCAAACCTTCAAAGATATTTTGAATAATTAAATAACTTTGTGTTACAACGATTAGTAAAGCAACGTGAGTCCATGCAAATAATGAAAATTGTTTCATATAATATTTTTTCACCAATGACAGTACAAACCAAACAAAACCAATTATATATAAACAAAATGATACAAATCTATGATACGTTACAAGAAAACGTAAGTAGTCCTGAAAAATAAATATAATCATTATTTTATTGTTTTGTTTCTTTAAGGTCATTTAAAATTAACAGAATAATAAATTTAAAGCTAATTTTATTGATAGTAGAAGCCTTAGTGGTTGATAAGAGAAGCCTCAGAGTGATAATAGATATAGTTAGAATGGTTATTGATTTTATGTCACATGTTGCAAATGAACTTATATTATTGACAATCATAAATGCTTATCACTTAAAAATTAACATTTAAAATTGAATTTAATTATATATATATATATATATAAGTGTTATAAAATGAGATTTTTTACCGTTCTATTAATGACAACTGCAAAGTAGTCCATTAAATTTTCTCCATAAAAAAAGTAATTAGAAGTAATTAAGAAATACCAAGATAATGAACGAAACCAAGGTAAGCCATGAATTCTATATACTGCATATCCAATATTAATTATCTCCTCAAAACATTTTACTTGTACAACTAAAACCTGTTAACAGACAATAAAAAATGAAATTATATCAGTGAATTTACCATAAAAACTAGTTTTAATCATCAATTTTTAACTAACCGTGACCATCAATGCCAAAGGACCTCCATAAATGATAAAACAAAACCCTCCGATCATCAAGAAAGTAAAAATACCCCGGATAACCCAATTTTTCCAGCTAAGTAACAAAAAAATTAAATAGATGTGGTTAAAAATAGTGGTACATATATTAAAACGAATCTATTAAAAATATTAAGTTATAATAGTAAATTGTAGTTTAATTAACAACACTTTTATGAAATAAAAATATAAATTATTTAATTTTAATGTTAAAAAAAATAATGTACCGATCTGATAAGCCAGAGAGGGCAGATCCAAGTATTTCTGGGGTATGATCTGTTCCTTGTGGAAGAGTTTTTGAAAGCTCATCAACATCAAGTTTGGCATCATCTTCTGATTCAATATCTTCTTTCTACAAAGCAAATTAAGGTCAAATATTTTTGGACAAATTCTCTAATTATTTTTTAATATAATTACAGTTTATATACAATGTATAACTTTGTTCTAAGCAAAGAATATATATTTAGAAATAATTTAATTTTAATTTCGTCAGTTACAAGAATTAGATAATAATGATTATGGGAAACAACAATATCGATTATATGTTAACAAATATTATAACCGCGATAAATTATAAATATTAATTTTATAAAAATAATATTTATAAAATAATTAGATAATTAGGCATTTGGAAATTTAGGTAAAAACATATATTTAATAAGATTAATCTTAATTGTCGATTGATCATCGAATTCTTAGCAATTTTTGTAATTACTAATACGCGATAGATAGAAACTAATCGTCATCATTTTAATCTAAAATACTTAGTATTTGACTCATTTTTATACAAATAAGCAAGATAAAATGCCTTTATAAAAGATTTGAGTATAAATAAATTTAATATGATAAAAAGATATTCAATTATAATATAATAAAAATTATAATTAAATATAATATAATAAAATACGATTATACAGTATATAATGATTAATAAATTTAATAATTTAAAATTTCTATATTGTGCTATTTTTTTTTTTTTTTTTTTTTTTTTAAAAAAAGCAAACGAATTAATAATATTCAAAAAATAGAATAATTATACGTATAAATTTATATATGTAAAATATAAAAATATGAACATTTTCAATTTAAATATGAAAATATGAAGAAAAAATTAATGGAGTAAGATTGGTCATTCCGAATCAATAATAAATACAAACATCGTTGAAAATACTTAAGAAAGTGAGATTTCAGTTTTGAACGCAAGCTAAAGAATTCTTCGAATATTATTAAAAAACTTTTTCACGTAATTTTCCATTAATACTTTTATAATATATTTTGTATGATAAAGGTAAAAGAGGATGCAGGTAATAAAAAGTGAGAGTGATCTTGAAATCATTGTTGCATCAACACTTCGCACGACGGAGGAAAATAAACATTGGCTTATATGACCGAATTCTGCCCACTCCTACGCGAAAGGAACAGATGATTGCTAATAATGGTAATAATGAGCTTGCGAGCAGTCGCGACTAGTAGTTTATTTTTTATCCTCTATTTCCTTCCTTATATTTCGTCATCTTCGCATAATTACCAACAGGTGACTCGGTGCTTTTCTTTTGCCGCATAGACTTATCGAGAGGCACAACGAGTTTGCCCCAGTAGATGAAAGGGAAAAACATCGCGCGTGGGAACGGGGTTTAACAAAAAGCTAAAAAAACAGAGAAGCAAAAAAGGATAAGCAATGATAAATACATGTGTTTGCGCGTATTTACTTGATCGTCGACGACGTCCTTTGCAACCGCCTCAGCTACTGTCCTCTTCCGCACCTCGGACATGATGTTGCACTTGTTTCACCCGTAAGAGACTTAAGAGAAAGAGAGGACAGAGTGGAAGAGGTAGGAAGGGACAATGGTAGAAAATAATAGAAAAAGAGAAAGAGAGACAGAGAGAGAGAGAGAGAGAGAGAGAGAGAGAGAGAGAGAGAGATAAATAAAAGAATAGCACGAGTGGCAGAACCCTTTGGTATTATCAGCTATCGTATGCAACTCTTGATATTCTTCTTTTCGAGTCTACATAATCTTAATCTGAATAAAAACAGGCGTAGCGCAGAGGCGGAGCATGCGAATTGGCACAACCACGGCTACGAGATGGGGTGGTCCACTCCTCTCCGTACAACGTCGGTCGGCGCGCATGGACTCTTGCACGATACACAATCAAGTGACCGCGAGTTGAACAGAAAGCGCGCAGCTACTCGTAAAGGTTAAACAGCGCAGACGTAAACGGTCCGCGGTTACTATTACGGCGGCAACGACGACGACGACGACGACGACGACGACGACGACGACGACGACGACGACGACGACGACGACGACGACGACGACGACGACGACGACGACGACGACGACGACGACGACGACGACGACGACGACGACGACGACGACGACGACGACGACGACGACGACGACGACGACGACGACGACGACGACGACGACGACGACGACGACGACGACGACGACGACGACGACGACGACGACGACGACGACGACGACGACGACGACGACGACGACGAGCGACGACACAAGCAAAACGATCTACTTTCCCACTCCTTCGGTTCTTTAATATTTTTCCCTACTCTCTCTCTCTCTCTCTCTCTCTCTCTCTCTCTCTTGTGTAGTACACACACTCGCGCCTACAGACACATTCTCTTTTTTGCTATCTTTACATTTATCACATCTCCGTTCGTCTTGCTCTTCCTCTGTCACGTATATACTCCGACCTCTCTAACGCTCCATCTCACTCGTCTTCGGAAGCAGTCGATAAACCTCGTGAGTCTTCGTGTAATCAATTGTATTTGTTTTTTCTTTCCCCTACATTTTTTTTTTTCTGGAAAAACTTAAGGGAAAGTACTTCATTATTAACGATATTAACAGAGAGATGTGAACGAAATTGTCCACTTTCAGTTGAACACGAAAATAATGTGCTAACTGAACATTCCTTTAAAAATGTGTGCAAGTCTATTTTCCGCAGGTATAATGTTCACACGCATAATCATTTGCACATTTCCTTACACTTATATACGATTTGAATATTTTGGAAAATTTGTATTGATTGAGTGAAAATGTGATGCAAATATATGTATAAAAATTCAAAAGATATTTTGCGATAAAGAAATTCCATTTGTAAAAAGACCTTATTGCGGATTACGATAAGAACCATAATGCATTAAGTGCAGTAAATGTTATTTTTTTATTTTAAATATTTCCATTAAGCGGATCAATTCGATGTAATGAAAATCTTTATCTAACTTGATATGTATTATTAGATATACTTTATATATAAAATTGATAAACATTTATATTCTTACTATATTTATACATATATAATATGAATAATTATTTTAAATTTTAGCTTAGAAAGCATTAGTGACATCTACTGTCCTCTGTAGAATTTCAATACCTCGAACGATAACAACAAACAGCTGTTTATTGTTTTTTATTACTGTAGGTGGTAGTTGTTTAGACTTAACGTTTGATTATCCATACCTATACTTTCATATTATAAGAGATAAGTTACACATATTTCACCACGTTAGAAATTTCAATTTTCTTATTAATAACACGACACGTAGTCATTTATACATTTTTAGTCTGTAATAAGATGAAAGAAGTATTGTTGTTTTGCAATAAAAATATTTTATAAATAAAATAAGGTAACCACAATAGGAATAAATTAAATATATTTATTTTAAATTCATTTTTTGTTATAATAATTCGGTTGTATAATGACTGAAAGATCCAAACTAGAAATCAATATAAAAAGATTGTTAGGTCGATGTGAATTAATGGCAAAAGAAGATCAAAATGCGGATTCAAATCTTGAAATGGTAAATTTTAAATCAAATTTAAAGTAATACTTATTGAATAATTGCATGGATATTGATTAATTAAAATTATAGTACATTGAAGCTGCACAGGATATGATAGAAGAACTTCAGTCATCGCCAATGTATTATATTTGTTTATAATTATTTAATTTAGAAAGATTGAAAACTAGCTTTATTTATATGACATATAATTTAATTTGAAAATAGGAAACCATGTAGAGACGTTATGATTAAATATATAAGGAGGGTAGAATTTTTAAAAGGTATCTTAAATACTAAAAAATTAGAAGATCCTGTTGAAAGAGCAGCTGCTGTTCAAATGCTACCTGTTAATATTTTTACTCCAAATGAATTTACAAATGGTCCTAGTATAACAACTCAAATTCATCAGAAAGCAACAGCGAAATATGAAAAAGAAATACGTCAAGAATTATTTGAAACAAATTTAGGTATATAATAAATACATATATATTTATATAATGATTATTTATATAAAAGTAAGATTTTATTAACGAAACTGTCTAGCTAATACCAATGATGAACTCAGACAAAGACATATTAATTCAAATAATCAAGATGAAGATATAAATGCTGTACTAAATTATCATCACAAAATGCAAGAAAAAATAGCTGAAAATATGATTCTTATGACAAATAACATGAAAGAACATGCTTTGACAGCCAGTACAATAATAAAGAAAGATCTATCTATTTTAGAAAAGTCTGATAAATTGGCAGATAATAATACAACTAAATTAAAAGATGAAGCTTTTAAATTAGGAGAACATACAAAATCTACTTGGAGATGTTGGTTATGGGTAATGATTGCATTTGTACTAGTTGTATTTTTTAGTAAGTATAGATATATTATAAATTTTTAAACATTGTTTAAATAAAAGTTAAATTTTCACTTTTTTTTGCAGATATGATACTTTTCATAAAAATTGTAAAAAAGAAGATTTGAATGAAATATCATAATTTGTTAAGATAAATTGTTATATATAAAATATATTTGTTTTTATATTTTAATATTTTAAATGTGTACACAATTATTTACAATAGTTTCGTACCTTAAGCTGCATGATTATACGGTAATACAATATAGCATATTAGCGTTACTATTATGATTATTATTATAATACAATGGCTGCCACATTAAATACGCCAGGGCGTCCAGCACCTCCAAAACCAGTTTCAAAACCTGGTAAATTTTTCCATTTTTAAAAATTGCATTTAATTACACAATAGCTTTTTGTTTTGCATGTAACTGAAATTTAACGTTTTAATAAAATATAAAACTATTTTTAATTGATGTAATTAACTTACATCTTATTCTACTTATCAATTGACAAAAAGATAAACTATTTAGACAATGTAACATTGAATCATAATTATTACAACATAATATAAATTTGTTTTGTATTTGTAAAATAATAAAAATATACTGTACATATGCTATCTTATACTAAGAGAATTCTTTATCAAGTTATATCAATTATTAAAAATATAATTACTTTTTTCATTTTTAACTTCAGTCCTAAAATTTTTATTTGTTTATGTAACATCCTTTTTTTTAAGGCAAGGTAAAAGTAGTGAGAGCATTGTACAAATATGTAGCACAGCATGTGAGTAAAATATACAAACAATATTTAGAAATTGTGATTAAAGGACAAATTTTAAAAATATTTAACCTTTTTAATTTTATCTTTTAATAGAGCGATGAATTGTCTTTTGAGGAAGGTGATTTACTTTATGTATATGATAATGGGCAATCCAAAGTTAGTAATCGGTTACAAGCGCAATGTGGTAACCGAAAAGGATGGATACCTGCTAACTATGGTAAATTTATTCTAAATATTCAATACACACAAATATTTTATATTTAATACACACAAATATTTTTATCAAATTTTTTTTATTAAAATAATTTAACACAGTGGAAGAGCAAGTGGAGGAAATTATTTTACCTTTACACGAAGCCGCAAGACGAGGTAATATATCTTTTTTACGGGAATGTTTGAATAGTGGAGTATCTGGAACTGGATTAGATTCTGCTGGTAATACACCTTTATACTGGGCTGCTCGTGCTGGACATGAAGATTGTGTAAAATTACTATTAGATTTACCAAATCCTGCAGTGAATGCTCAGGTATACATCAATTGAATGGTAGATTTTATTTTTAAACTTATTAAATGATATAAAACAATTTCATTTTGATTTTTGTTTTTAATAGAATAAAATGGGTGATTCCCCTTTACATGTGGCTGCCAGTCATGGGCATTTAAACATTGTGAATCGTTTACTAGAAGCTGGTAACGATGCTACCTTAAAAAACAATACAGGCTATACTGCTCAAGAATTAGCTAGTGATCCGGTAATAAAAAACGTAATTCAATTGAGTCAGCAACATTATAATGCAAAAACTATACATGATTACAATGAAGAAGACTATAACGACGAAAGTGACTGAAATACATTCCTTATATTGTTAAAGATAAATTTATATTCGTTTATTTTTTATTTTATAAATAGTATATTTATTTATTTTTAGTATTAAATTAATTGAATTTACATAATACATAACATCACAGTTTAGATTCGATCTTCTGATGCACTATAATTTTTTACTGCTAAACCACCTGTTGTAGTCAAGCCTTAATAATAATTGTGCCAAATGTTCTCCACTAGGTTGAGCACGAACTCTGTTTAATGTTTTTGTCAACCAACTCATCAATCCATCCAATACGTCATTTAGTGATTTTAATTCAAGTTTTTCAGTTTCAAGTAAATTCTCTATTTCCCAAACAGAAGCATTGCGAATAAAATCATCGCACAGACGTAATAGTAACCTAATTAATTTATTCACCTATAAATAAAACAGTATGATATAAAACGGCAAAACAATAATAAAAAATATTTTTTAATTGAAACGTACTGGATTTCTTTTGTCAGCTCTTTCACTACTCATTAAAAAAGTTCGAGACATGACATTTATTAAAAATAATGCGTGTGCTTTTTGAACATCTTCAAAGTTGCGAGTATTTTTCATATTGTTTTCCATTATAGTGTATTGGCTTTCTATAACATCAACTTGAAGATAATATTGTAAATTATCAACGATAAAAATGAGATTGTTACGTAATTGTATTACATCAATATCTCTGAAAGTAAATAATATTTGTACTTAATTATGTATATATATATATATATATATATATATATATATATATAAAGAAAGAAACATAAATCTAGAGAGCCGACTTATTTATACATAAAAAATTTGTACTTATATATATAAATATATAATTCCTGTTAAATAAAAATACTGTATACTAACATAGTTTTTGAGTTCATATGATCTCGCCATAGATTCCATAAATTAATTTGTGTTTTTTTCACACGCAATAAAAATCTAAATAAAATATTGTAGTTTCCAAGAGTCGATGGGTTAAATAATAAATGTAATGGCCAAGTTACTTTATATTTTAACATTATCAAACCCCAACCTTTTTTATCTAAAATAAAAATTCAAATTTAAATTCTTTTACAGATATGGGAAATTAAATAATTAATAATTTCATACAAGTGGAAAATATATATCGTTTATAAAACTTTAATATATTACTTTTATGTTTGAAATTAATTATCTAAGATTATAATTTAAATAAACTTATTATAATAACTTATTATTATATATAATAAAACTTATAACATATACTTATTCTGTTATAAGCTTTATTTTCATAAGTACCTATAGGATCTTCTCTTTCCTTTTCTGAAAATTCTGTATTAACAGTATTGTGTTGCTCTTTTACTTCTCCAATTACTTCATCTTTGTTGGAGGGTAAACTGGGAACAGCAAAGGTAAAACATTCCAGTGCAGTTTCATCTGCAGATTGAGCCTTTCTTAAAGCCATTTGAAAAGCTAAATTTATATCACGAGATGTATGATTTGTTGGGATTTTATCAAGTATATGTGTTGCCAATCTGATAAATTCAAGAAACATATCTCCACGTCCCATTAAGTAAAAGTCTTTAATGAGTTTAAGACAATTGACAAGTTGAGCCTCTTCAACAGCGACATGCCATAAATGTTGAGTTACACAATGCTTTAATTCATCAACTGTCCTTTCAAACTCAACGAGCGCGAATGTTGGTTTTGCCTGTAGAGCCCGAAGTTTTTCAAAATATTCATATTCCTTTTCACCCCATATCAAATTTTCGGCATTAGTTATGACTTTTAGATCTTTTTTTTGGCGAGGATCATTACCAAACATAATTATTGTTTGACCAATTGTTAAAATTTTTACAGCTAATGATGGTCTAATATAATAAGGTAGTACTTCTACATTAATATCATAATCCCACATTTCATTAGAAAAAATTTTTTTATCCTTTTCAATATCAGTGTCTTTATCTTTATCTTTATCCTTTTCATCTTTGATAATCATATCAATAGTTTTTTCTGTTTTTTGAATAAAAAATTCTCTATGTACATCTTCAAGATGTCCATACAGCAACCAACTAGTTAAATGCTTATAAAAAACAACATGAACACAATGGGTCATTCTGTAATGAAAAAAAATTAAGTTGAGAATAATATTTATAAATTTCAATATTGTTATAAGCTGAAAGTACTTTTCAAGTGCTTGTTTTATTTGAGGAACACCTGTATGAACATAGTGATGTAGGCATTGTAAGATTTTACAGCCATGTAAATTTTGAAATTCAATCTATAAAAGAAATTTACTAAGTCAGAATGATGTCAATCATCATAAGTATAACGATAATTTTAATTCTACAATAATATAATAAAATAATATTTGTAGTAGATATTACAATTTAATTAATATTATCTATTATACTAAATTTTTAAAATGTCTTTAGAGAATTATATCATCATATAAACTATAATGATACATAAGTAGAGAATAAACATAAATTCTTACATCTTTAATAATATTATTAAGGACTGAAAATAAAGATAAATATTTTTGAAGTCTACAAAGAATCATAGATACTGGAGTATATCCATCATTTAAAATGATTCTTTCCATATCAACAACATCTTCTCTAAAAGGCTCTAAAGCTTTATCCATCCCATTACAAAGTGATGTAAGATAAAGTCCCTTCAACAATGAATTGGATTCTATAAGTAAGGACACAATAAATATAACTATTAAAAACAATTTTCAATATATTAATATATAATTTTTATTTACACATTAATTTTATATAAACTAACAAATATATTGCATTACAAAGACTAATTGAATTAAGCATTCATATAATAAGTAAATAAAGTCTTAAACTAATATCAATATTAATATTTAATATATTTGACGAATAAACATATTTTTAAAATACATACTTAAAATATTTTCAATTATAATATCCAATAATGTAGAAATGATACAGTAGTTCAAATAATATCAAAAAATTTAATTTTATGTTTTCAGAGTTAATCCTTATGAAAATTATTAAAATATCATTAAAATAAATTAAATCATAGAATCAGATGCAATATAAGAAATAATTATTGTTAAATAAAACGTTTGTAAAATTACTGCTTACCATCGAAAGAACTATTTTTTTTAATAAATTTTCTTATTATATTACATTCCTTAACTATTTTTAGAATGGAATTAATTAAAACTCTTTCTCCGGGATGAAGATAATTATCAAGTTGTAACGGCTAAAATATAATACACAATTTTAAATCGATATATCGTAACAATTAAAAAAAATTAAATCTTACATCTGTGTCAATAATGTGTGTGATGCTGGTAGAACAACCCCAAAGTGATAACAAAAGTTCATGCAACATTCTTTATATAAAATTTAGTTTTAATAAATGAACTGACACCTTTCTTCCATAGCACAATATAAAATAATGTAAAATATGTAAACAGTATTAGGATATTTAATGATTTCGAGGTTATGAAATTAATAAATTATGTTATATCAATGAAAATAAATAATAAACTTGACAATATTTACAACGTATTTCTCATATTTCTTAATTTTAAATGTAGATGTGGATAGTAAATCAGTCTTCAAAGTAAACTGATATGTTTACCAACACAAAAAAAAAATTAATTATATCGGTACGAAAAAGAGGGTATTGAATCCAATATTATGGCAGGTTAAATGCGTTTGCTGCAAATGAATATTTGCTAGGCTATATATATATAGGCGCGCGCGCGTGTGCATGTGTGTGCATAAAAAATATGGTCAATTATACGATCGTTGATTTTACTTACAATAGTGAAATATCGTGAAAAAATTATTTTGCTTAAATATATAATATCAATAACATTTGTTAACATTTTATATTTAATTAATAACATCCATTAATTAATTATCCTTGATAAAATCAGTTTCAGAAAACTGTAATCTTTTAAATCATTGTTGATAGAATTATAATTTTTTAATACTTTTTATAAAAGTATATAATAATGTCAAATTATTTTTGCACTTTATTTTTACAATTACGAACAGTATGCTTAAGTTCATTCCTACTGATTATTTGATATATTTTTATTAATTTATTCTAATTTATTATTAGTCAATAATTAAAAAATAGTATGTACAACTAATGTAGAGAAGTATATAATATATAATATAATTCTAATGTATATTAGTAATAAAGTAGCGTTCGTACATAAAAATATGCAATTATAAAAAAAATGTATATATTATATGAAAACTTATATATTCAATTATATACAAAACATGTACAAAAAGCAATTTACTACAAAGTTATTTATTCATTATGAATTAATTATTAGGTAATTAATTATTAAGAATTTAATTAGTAAGAAGATAAAAGGTTAAATTGGATTGATTGGTTGCGAATGCATTCTATTGTTTAAATTAAAAATTGTTGATGTCTAGTTTTGAGTTATCAGATTTGAAATGTTATATATATATATGTTATATATATATATATATATATATATATATATATATATATATATATATATATATATATGTATGTATGCATGTATGTATGTATAATATGAATTATTATAATATGATGAATTATGTCATACAAGAATTAGGATCACGAATCATGAAATTTTCATATTCTATTATCCAAATTTTGTGTCATGAAGATAGTTAGAAAGCGATTCAGTGTTGCCTTTTACTTACTGTCTTACCACAGACTATTATTGTAAACCATTTTTAAATTATTTAAAATTTAAATGCTTATTTGATCATATTAATGAGATAAAATTTCAAAAAATACTGTTTGTAATAATAACCGTATCACTTATGGTATCTAATCCGAAAATTGCACTTCTTTTTTGATAATTTATTTAATTGTATAATCTCCAATTATGTAAAACAATTTGTAATAAAATGTCTTTAATTAAAAAATATTTTTATCGTAAATTTTTGTATAGTTATATCGTTATGTAGATGAGACGTACCACTGCTTTAAGATAATAATTAAATGAATTATATACACATATATATATATATATATATATATATATATCGTATTCGCATTTTACTCTATATAGGCTGTTGGTTGCCTAACCTTGTTGGGCATATAAATGCTTATTTTTAAGATACCGGTGACCGGTGTGATGGTAGTTACAGATTGAACTTTCTTTGGTCGGGACGTCGACACGTGCTTTCTTATACTTTTGACCTTTAATTGTTTTATCGATTTTATTGGATCTATTACACAAGTGTTCAGCACGAAAAAATCGTGAATATGCCGCGTGTTATTCGCGATTCTGATGATGAGGTTGAAACTAAAAGTTGTAAGTACTTATTTCTATTTTCATATTTTTTCCATGCTCTCGAAGTTTAAGTTTCTTCAATTACAATTTTCATAACGGTCACTTTGCTACTTAGCATAACGTTTTTTTAACGAATAAACGTGAAAATTATGGTTTTAAGGTTAGAAATGATTATTTATAGTTTTTACAAACTATTCAAACGTTAATAAATATTACGATACTTATTTTGTATTCCATTTTTTTGAAAATTCGCGTCATGCGAGTGTTTTGCGAAAGATTTGTAACTCTTCTCTGCGACGTTTAAGCTTAATATTTCCGTCAATTAATTTCGATATAATTAGAATAATTTTATTTATGATATATTTTATAGGTATACGAAGAACACGTGCTTCAGCCGCAGCAAGTATTCAAGACTCTCCATTGCGACGAAATACTAGAAGTAGTAAACAATTATGTACCATAGAATCATCGCCTGAATCGTTAAATGATAGTAATATCCAACCAATAGGTCCTACAACACGTAGTCGAATTGCTACATTAGACAAAGGAATGGCAGTTAATATAGTAAAGAGTTTAAGATCAAGAAAAAATTCTGGTTCATCTGATGTAAGCGAAATAATAGAAGTAGAAAATGATACAATTGAAAAAAGAGTTACAAGACGAAATAAAGCAGGCCAATCTCTTAGTGGAACTCCAACAAAGGCTAATCTTAGATCGTAATTATAATTACTTTCTATAATTTATATTTATAGTTATAATAATATAATATTTTGTTTTTTAAAATTTTAATTTTTAAATGATTAATTTATATGAAAATTGTTAATATTATTGAATTCTACAATATTTTATTTTAGTCGTAATATAAGGGCTGGTTCCGAAGCAAAATCTACACCTCCTGCATCTAGAAGTAGACGAGTGACTAGGTCTAGTTCAGTGGATCCTATAGGAAATTTAAATGATTCATTAGGAACACCAGTGAAAAGAAGAACAAGGGCATCAATAGTACCTACACAACCCACTGTAACAGAAGATGAAGAAATTAAGAATATAGATTCTAAAAGTTTACAAAATACTGTAATAGAAATAAATGAAAATGACTCTGGTAAGGATATCTATTTTCAAATTTTTAATATTTAAAATAAAAATTATTACATATTATTACATATTGTATATTATTACAGAAATTTCCATGGTTTTCAATAAAGAAAAATCTAATAGAAATTCATTAAATAATGCAGTTGATGCAAACAAGAATATAAGCGGTAAGTTTTATTTATGTACTATTCAATATTTGCTAACTTGTATTGTCTTTTGTAATCAAATCCAAACATCCATCTATTATATATTAACAAATTCTTTGTGGCAGTTAAAGAAATATTCAATAATTCAGAGAAGTTTGCATTGGACTCATCTAAGAAATTAGAGGATAGTATGACCTATAAATCAAATAACTCCAATGAAACTATTGAGGAATCAACAAATAAATCTCTTACAATTCTTTCTGTTTATAGTATATTAGAGTCTTCTGAATCTGAAGCAAAAAAATCCAAAGAAAATGAAAAAAATACAGAATTACCTCTTTTATTAACACATCAAAATATTGTAACAAATACAAATAATTTTTCTTCGTTAAATAATCGATTAAAATTATGTAGTAAAAATAATACAAATACTTTAAGCAATAACTCTAATTTAAATGATGATGAAAGTGAACGTGTTGATGTAGAAGTTTGTGATTCACGTTTTACCAATGAATCCATTCAAATAAACGATTTGGAGTATAAGGATGAATTAAATTTAGATAAGATAGAATTAAATATAAAAGATTCTTATGTAAAATTAAATCGGACTAATGTAGTTGAAAAATTATTAAATCAAAAGAAAGATGAAAGTAAAACCAATAGTGAGAAAAATATAAATTTAAGTAACAGTTTTAGAAATAAAGTTCCAATAGTTTTAGTGAATGATATCGTTAAAAATAATCAAGGCCCTGTTAATAAATTGTATGATATAGAAATCATATCATCATCATTAGACTGTTCAAAAATAAATATTAAAAATTTTAAAATTGATAAAAACAATGCAGATTATGTAAAAATAGCTTCTGTAAATAAGAGTAATAATAATTTAAATGCTTCTATTGATGATGATAAAGAAGACTTGAATATTGTAAATGCAAATGATAATCTAATACAAAATCCAATTTGTAGTCACAATGATAATGAAACAAAAAATTGTATTTATATAAATGATACTGATGATGGATCAGAAAATACAATTTTTATTCATAAAACTTCTGAGGCATCAGAAAATTTTACTTCTACAAATGAATCTAATAATGAAATAAAAAATTTAAGTTCTTTAAATACAAATAACAATAAAACAGAAAACTTAATAGATACAAATAAAAATACTAGTTTGGTTGAAAATTTCCAAAGTATAAATGTAGCTACTGATCAAAGTGAATGCTCAATTTTTAGAAATAAACATAAAAATGAAATCGATGATGAAAAAAATAATTCCAATTTTATAAATACAAATTCAACAATAATAAAAAATATTAATTTAGCTGAAAATTCTGAGATTGCGAATGGAACTAATAATGAAGTAAATAATTTAATTTTCATGTTTAAAAATGAGAATGAAATTGTAGATTTGGTTAATATAAAAGAGGATAATAATGCAAAGCACGTCACTCTTGTAAATAGAAAAAATGATGAAATAAATAATTTAATATGTGTACGTAAAACTCGCGATAAAGGAAAAAATTCCTTAAATTCAACAGTATCTATTGAATCTAAAAATATATACGATGAAAAAGACAACTTTATAACTATGAAACAAGATAATAATGATCTAAATGATTCTATTTTTCTTCAAATTCCAAAACAACCTAATATTATACCGAATAAATTGGTAATAAATAAAATGATTGACAACTCAAGCTCTATTTTTGTTTATGAAGATAATGAATCTATAAGTTCAGTTTCTACACATGAAATTAATAATAAAGTAAAAGAATTAAATAATATTAACGATAAGATGGATTCCACATCTTTTGTAGTGGTATATAATAATGAAATGAAAATTGATAAAAATACTGAAATAGTAGCAGAAAATGTAACAAACATTGATAATGAAGTTATATTGCAGCCAATGGAACTTAATATTTCTGACAAAACTGATACCGATTTTAAACAAAACAAAATGTGTGGTGTGGATAAAAATAGTTTATGTTCTGCTGTTACAGACGCTGATGGTGCGTTTACCCCTGCAAAAACGGAGGATAATGAAGAAGCAAATAAATACCATAAATCACAAGAAAATTCCTTTGAGAATGAAGAAATAACAAACAATCAAACACACAAAATCGAATCAGATGACAGTGATTCTGATAACAGCCTTGGAAAATTATTTCAAGATATTCCTGCTGAAGAATGGTGTCATCAAACGAAACAAAATAGATCGTCATTTTCTGAAGTTTCAAACGAAAATGAAAATGAAGTTGAAATAACTATGAATAATGCAAGTAAAAATAAAAAGGATTCATCTTTTAAAGCATCTATGATTCAAGAAGACAATTTAAGAACAAAGAAGAATAGAAAATCATTTGAGGAAAAACAAACAAACAAATCATTAGAATATAAATCAAGAGATTCATTAGAGAAAGATACAAATCAGTCGCATTTATACAGAATTAGAAAATCTTATGAAACCAAAAGTGAAAATAATCAGTCAATGACTTTTAACGATACAGTATCAAAGAAAATTAATTCTGAAATTCAAGAATGTAATACAGCAGAAATAGAAGATGAAAATGAATCTCCTAATAAAAGGCCTTTATCTATAAATAAATCCTTAAAGACAAATCAATCATCATATGATCAAACAGATGAAAGTATATCAGATAAAATGTCATCATCGATAAATGAAAATAAATCTCTTCAAAAAAGTCATACATCAATTGATACTTCATTACGTTTGAATCAATCATCATTTGAAGAAAATGAAAATAAGAGTATTTCAGAAGAATTCACAAACTCTGTGAATAATTCAAAAATAATAACAAAACAATTTACAAGTGATACATTATGTAAATCGTTAATGGAACAAAGTAACGAACGGTTATCATATGAAGTAATGGATGTAGATGAAGAGAAAAATGAGAGTAGAGAAATATATAACAAATCTTTAAATGAAAGTAAAGATCTTAAGAAGAGTCCATTTAATAAATCAGTTTCAAAAAATAAAAGTATATCCGATAATGGAATCAATTATTCCGTACCAGCTAAACATCTATCAACTAATAATTCAATTAGTTCATTAGATGAACATCAAAATCAAGATAAATCGTTTAATGATGAAGTTGAAATGATCGAAGATATCGATACTGATAAAAACGAAAATGATGAAACTAATAATAAATTGGAAAAGAAATACCGTAAATCATTAAATAAAAGTAATCTATCTAATCAGTTGAACCAGTCAGATCTACGACAGATAAATGGAAGTTTGAAAGAAAAATTATCGGATTCTCTCAATAAATCGAAAAAATTAAAAAATAGGTTATCGGGTAGATTGCAGCCATTGAATGACTCATCTAATAAATTGCTAAGTAAAAATCAATGTTTGAAAAGCGAATCAGATAATGAAATAGAAGAGAATGACGAAAAACTTTCTAATAAACAAACAAGTATAAATTTATCTAAGTCATCTAATGACATATCATTAAATTTATCCAAGCACAATGAGTCTACAGTATCTAATGTTAAAAATGAAATATCGTTAAAAAATAAATTGTTAAAAAATACCCATAATAAATTAGCGATTCAATCCGATTCAGATGAAGATATTTCATCAGAAACAAATAATGAAATAATAAATACCAATAATAAATCTTTAAATATTTCTTCAAAAAGTAGTATGTCAATTCATAATAGTTCTGTAAAATCAATTCCGTCGAGTTTCTCCAAAAATTCTACTACGGAAAATACTGAGAATACTGATGAATCAGTTTCCAATGACAATTTAAATAAAACTGAAGAAGCCAGTATTAATTATGGTAATGGTCAAAATCAAATGAACTTAGATAACTCTATTCCAAAGAATAGCGAGATGATTAAGTTTCCAAATTTAATGAAGCAAGATGTATCAAGTACAACTCAGCTAGAATCTGATTCTGGAAATAGAGAAATACCAGAATATCAGCTTCATATGACTGATGAAGAGTCTGATACCTCAGAAGAAGATAAAGAGAATTCATGTAGTAAAGAGATTGATTCAGATATTGCTAAAGAATACAATCTGTCAGGTAAGAGTATAAAGAAATACTCTGATGACGATGTACCTGGAGATGATTGCCGAGC